ACAAGTAACAGTTGTTTTGATTTTTATGGAAAAAAACGTCAACAATTGAATAGAAATAATTTCTCAAAATATCAATTGTAATAACGACAATAAACAGTCATACACCGCAATAGCGTATACTTGAATTAATTATTTTTAAAACTTCGAACTATTAAAACTCATTGAAAAGTATATAATAAAATATATGGTATTTTTTTCATTTAAAAATACTTCTTAGGTATTTTATGGTATGTTTAGTTTGTAAGAGTTATAAGAAGTTAAAAAAAACCTCCGGTAATAAATATATGGTTGCCGCCATAGAAATAGAATCTATGATTTCACGCACCTATCTAATATCAGTTGTAAGTCAATAACGGGAAGTCTGAACAAAGAAATTTCGTTACTGAAAGTTTTGATATTTTTTGTTTTATTTAAAATTTAATATAAAAAAGTTTAAGTTTTAATTGGATGACTAAATATTCAAATCTTTTCTTTAAAAGACTACCTAGTCTTTAAAAGAAAAGAAATTAAATAAGTTTGTTCATATAAATATATAAATATATTTGAATCGATGATTGCAGAAACGACATGAGTCAATTTTTTAAAACTTTTGGATAATTGATAAAAAGTGTATAATTTAAATAATTCTGAAAAATATTCTTATTTAAAAATGAATACTTGTAGAAATATATCAAGCACTTATTATACATAATTTGTGTACATAAATAATATGATGTTTTTTTATTATTGGCTTTCAAAGTTTTTTGACCCATGACGTTTTTCCATTCAATGTAAATATACCAAACAAAAAAATGTTTTAATGTATAGAAAATTACTTTATTTTAGATTATAAGTTCACATTATCACAATATTAAATTAATAAATTATTAATACATAGAAAATTACTTTATTTTAGTCACATTATCACAATAATTAATTAATAAATTATTGATACATAAAAAATTATTTTATAATTTTCCATAAACTCTGAATTTATTTTTCAATTATTGGCCAGTTCAAAACTTCATTCCAAAACGAATTATTTATTTTAGAAGGAGCTATGTAAGATGCTGATTTTTTTATATCTTTCATTTTATTTGAATTTATTGGTAAAATATCTTTATAATTTTCTTTTGGTAGTTCAATTTGATTTGTTCCGGGTAGTGTTAACCAGAAAGTATGTTGATTGGTGCTTTTAATAATTTCACTAGTTGTTACCATTCCCCTCTTATAAATGTAGTGGTGAAAAAATGATACATTTAAACATACTTTTTTGTCACGTGGAACTGATCTTTTTGAAGATTCTACCGAATTGCATGTTTTCTTATAATATTTATTCCACCATGATTTAAAATCAAAAATGTCTGAATGTGTTATAAGTTGGACTTTGAACTTGTTTTTATTACTAGACTGAATAATTAACTTGAGATATTCACGTAATGTATAAATTCTATCAATTTTTCTTAAAGTACGTTTTATCACACCAAAATCTCTATCACAATCTAAGAAAGAATGCCCTCGTATAGGAAAATAATGTTCTACTACTTCGAACCGACCCGTATCAACTAAAGCTTGACAAAATCGCACAACAGTATTATTTTTATTTTGTCCAGGACAATTGTCAGAAAATAACCTTAATTCTTTCACTTCTGATGGAACACATTGTTGAATATATGTAAGCAAAAATGTACACACTTCATTAGGACCTTTATACGCTTCGCCTTCGTGATATAAAAAAAACATTGAATCTTCTGATTTCATATTATGAATTCCAAACAAATTAATTGTAAGCTGGCGAAGGTAAAAAAGATCTTGTACGGGTATTTTAGGGAGTTGTAAGTTTTGCATGTAATCAAATGTGAGGCATAAAAGATCATTACGTATTTTACATTCATCCCTAGAATTTTTCTGTATAGTATAAAACTGTTTGGCTTGACGTTTATGAACTATCATTTCTGCAATAGCAGTTTTTTTTGCAGTTTCGTTTAAAGATTTATTTTTTATTTTGTTGGATAAATCTTCACATTTACAGCATGTGTCGACTTGTGGTCTACCAAAAGATAAATTGAAATTCTCTCTAAAGTATTTATTGTAATATTCATATTTAATATTCGAAGTAGGATATTTGGTTAAAAAACATTCATGCATTTTTTTAACAGTTAAGTCACAACTTAAATAACAAAATTCTTTTCCTGAATAATGACTTTGCTTTACAGGAAAACTAGATATATGATCATACATAAGTTTCAACTCAGAAGGTTGGATAGCATTGTTGCTTTTTGATTTTCCTCTTTTATCATTAGGCGTCAATCCTTTTACAAGATTTTCTCTAATAGTTCGTACACGTCTTTCCGTTACACCATATATTTTGAGAAACGCACTTTTGCACACTTTTTTCCGATCAGATCCCAACAAACAATAATACTTAAAACTGTGTTCTAATAAAATTGCATTTTCATTGCGAGGTCTATGAGTTTTACAATGTTCTTTTATTATTAACCCTTGAAGAAATAAATCCTGTTCATTTTTACTGGGAATTTTATAAAAATGTCCAAATACGAATTTCTTATCAATTTCACTTAAATTACATTTCATTGAACAGTTGCATAGTGTTTCAGCTATTTTCTTAGCTGGGATTAATTTATTTTTATAATTGATATGTTCCTTGCCTTCAATTTTAGCAGTTTTAATAACATTTCTCGAATAAGATGATTCATTTCTAATACCTCTCTTACGAATTGGTGTACTATTCTCCATAATTAAATAATTACGAATTCACTAAAAATAATGTACTTAAAGACGTATCACTGTAGAACAACCTAACTAAACTGAACATTGAAATATCTACCTACGAAATGAGAAAATAATTTTTTTGTAATCTATTTATGTAATTAAATATTTAGGTCCTATTCAATCATAAAATTACTGATTTAAAAATAGACACGTGTAAGCGTTTATTTACTGTTGAGTGTAGAAACGACACAAGTCAATGACTAAAGACGTTTTTGCTCTCAACCATATCTTTAAATAGTAATCCAATGGGTAAAAACGTTATGACTGAAGCGGTTTTTCCACTCAACACATAAAAATAGATGACTAGCATGTGTTTTTGCTAATATCTAAATTTCACAAAAAATGTGACTCGTGTCGTTTTTGCAATCATCGATTCATATATATATTTAATAGTTCCCAGTAGTGGTGGTATCCAGATTTTTTTAATCCAAGATAAAATTTATCGAAATCAGAATATCATGTTTTATTAAAATTTTATTCAAGTTTCTTCTGACTTGCCATTTATCAACCTTCACGAAATCGTATGGGCTTGAATAGATGCAAGTTCAGTTCTTCGCTCAAATAAAATAATATTTTATCACATACTATGAACCGTCTATACTTTGTCTACTAGTGCTTTATCCTGAACTATGCAAATTTTAGAATTTTAACACAAAAATATTGACGTAACACAGTTAAATTATTAGTTTTCCAATAAGCATAAATGGTCCAAAAATATTGCCAAATTGTTAAGTAAAAATAATAAGCCTAATTTTACAAAACACTAATGAAGTTCACACGCATGATCATTATCGTATCTGCCATCCCTATGTTATAAACTTAATAAAAATGTTAAGTTATAAAAATTAACACGACACTAGAAGAAAAAGTATTTTAACAGTTATAGACATAAGTGTACGCACAGGAGCATCAAATGGTGCGTTCGCTTAAGGTGATTGGAATAAATGCTACTTTAAGAAATTCTTTAACAATAATGGATTACAATGTGATCAAACATTAAAAATTGAATTAACCAAGAATTTTCTTAGACTAATAAATTTTCATGCTATAGCGGCCCATCACGATAAATATAAAAAAATTATATTATGTGTTAATAAAATATCGATTGATATTGTTCAATACTTCAATTACACAACCCTTATCTAGTACTAGCATAAGGTTTTATTTTATTTATTACTATAATTATTATAAATTTATTATTGTTAGTATTGGTTGAATAAAATGTTAAATTGTAAGATAAAGTAAAATGCTCTAGAAATGTCATTACTACTTGTAAAGAGGAAGAGGGTGTATTAGAGAGGATAATTACTTACTCCTCAAATATTTCAGAATGATTATTTGAGGCTCTATGAGTCTTAAATAGAATATTTTGTTAAGTGAAGGATATTAGATTAGCAATGTGGGCTTGTTTAAGTATATGCTGTCCGGATCCAAAAGTTCTCGCACGACTTTGCATTCTATAGACGCACAATACATATAAGGTATCAATTAAAAAGAGATTATAGCGTTACTCCATCGAATAACCAGTTGTAGTGGCACAAGCAGTGTTGCCAAGACGCCATATAATAGTGAAAAGGCGTGGTATAAAACTGGACCAAACATTAATAAAATAAAAGTAAAAACTAAATAAAAACTATATTTTACAATTTCTATATCCGTAAGATTACATAAACAAACAAAATTAGTTCTCAAAGGAAGTAGACAATCGCCAAAACGTTAATGATAATATTTCTTGTTGTTAGTGGCCGGCGGCCTGGACCGGTTCTCGTCACCCGCGGTCACTCGGCGTCGCGCGACCTGTCGGACGAGGAGAGGTAGCTGTGTCGCAGTCGCCATCCAGCGGTAAAGCCGGAAGTGCAATGCGACCGCGTCAGAATACTCTTCTAGATCAGTTTTTTTTATGTTAATATAATAATATAGTACAGCTATCCATCTGTACTAATACAAATTACTCACATACTTTACGTATAAAAATTAGTTATTCCATATTGAAACTAATTATGAAGTAAAAAAGTACTATTTTGTGGAAAGTAAGTTTTAAACTCACATTATACAATAATTAACATTTTATTTTAGAGTTGGAATTAGAAAAATTACAAAGATTTATTTGACAGATATATAAAATTGATAATATTTGAATAAATGTAATACATATCGTAAAAAATACTATACAACTCATAATTTTTATTATTCTATTTTTTAACTCTCATGTTAAAAAAAACACGATATATTAAACAAAGAAATTTTTATTATTATAAGTGTAGTAATTTCGACAAGGGACTCTTGCAAAAAATTAATAAATTATTAAATAGCATAGAATTGTGAACTTTGTTTTGTTTGTCTTGTAAAACTTATTATTTAGAGTTCTTCGCCATTTGTGTCAATTAGTAATCATAATGATTATTTAATTCTATAGCTACTTAGTTATAGAAATGTTATAATAAACAATAAATAATATAATAAATTTTTTCTCTGAACATCAATAACCAAAAATAAATTTAAACATTTATGAATAAATATATCACGGAACAAATAGTTTTAATAAAGTTATATTAAATTCTTATAAACTATGAGAAGGTCTAGTTTCAGAATTTTATTTTCCATTCATTATCCTCAGGAATAAAAATGAAATGGTCAGATTTTTTATTTTGATACAAATTAAGAAAATTTAACATAAGACCTGAAAAGAAATAAAATTGTAAAATTATTATCAATACTTGAGTAACTAGTATTTTCAAAAATAATAATCATTTTTTATTTATATTTTTAATTTAATAAATACAAATATAATAAATTAATATCTTCTTCTTCTTTTTACACGCCTTAATCCAAATTGTTGTTTTCTTTTAAATACAAAAACGCAACTTGGGTTTTTATTTAAAAAAAAAGTGAATTAAATAAACAGAATTATAAAGATCATTATATACAAGGTGGCCCATNAATATACTTTTGAATGAGAGTGATAAGTAATAATTGCCTTATCTAATTTCTTATCATGGTATAATGCCATGTTTGTAATGTATACACATTATCATCATATGTATACACAGTAATCATGAAATTAACCAAATCATGACCAAATGAATGGTTTTAATTAAAAGAAAAATATGTCAAACAAAAGAAGTATATAAATATTATTTTTCATAAAAAAATTGTATTGATCCATACATTTTTCAATAAGTTAAAGTTAAAAATTTGAAATATAAAATTAAGAATTTTCACACAAAAATAGCATTCGGTAACTACTTTCAACATGAAGGCAGATTAAAGTCCGAAATTTTGTTTTCTCAAAATGAAGTATATTACATTATCTATAATTTATGATATATATAAAAGTGTCACACCTTCCGAAACATTTTCAAAAATCAAGTTGAAAAAGTAAATTTTTTGTAAAAAAATTGTCCCCCTGTGGGCAGGTAATGGGTCAGATTTATAAAAAAAGTATAACAAATGATAAGTTAAGACATCATGCATCTACAAAAAACAATTATATTATATACAAATTTTAAAAAAATATGGCAGTTTTAAGTGAAAAAATTTAAAAAATGCCGAAAATCATCAATTTTATAATTTGTAATTTTTTTGGAGATGTTTCCCATTTACAGAGAACAAAGGAAATTTTTTCAATTTTGAGGGTAATCGACTAGATACGATTTGTGATCTTTTGACGTATTGTTGAAAGAAATAGCATTATAGAGTTAAAAGTATAACAAATAATTTTTTTACAAAAATCGTATTTTAACTTCGATGCGAAGCTGAGAAGGTATTAATTTTACTAGATGTGTTAATTAATAATTTTTTTTTTAAATTTAATTTTAAAATTGTAAAAAATTTTAAAATTACTGTCAGGTATCATTATACTTGACTCAACTATGCCACGGCCCCCCTACGTTGGGTTTTTTATTTTTTTTGTGTTTGTTACTACATTTTCTTAGCTGTCACCGAACCAATTTCTTTCAACGATACGTCAAAAGATCACAAATCGTATCTAGTCAAAGACATTACTCTCAAAAATTGAAAAAATTTCCTCGTTCCCCGTAAATGAGGGAAATCTTCAAAAAAATTACAAATTTAAAAATCGACAATTTTCGACATTTTTTCAATTTTTTTACATAAAACTGCCATAATTTTTTGAAAAATGTATGGATCAATATAATTTTTTGTATAGATACATGAGGTATTTACCTATTATTTTGTATATTTTTTTTATAAATCTGAATCTTTCCTTACCCACAGGGGGGAGGGATTCAAAATGCCAACTTTAATATTCATGAAAAATACTATCGTGAAAATATTCTCGACAGCGGAAATATTCTTCTGCAAACTATTACAGGAGACTATAGCATTTAAAACAAAAATAGAACTAAATAATTTCTTTGAGAATATTCAAAAAACCTAAAAATTCTATTAATTGATGAATATTTTAAAAATGTATGATGAAACATTAATTATTTTTAACTTGGTTGATAGGTCACATGATAACCGAAGCCAGCGTAAGTGCCGTGATATTATGCGAACTATTATATTTTTATTAGGCGTTCATCTTTTCGGTATTTTTTTAATAAAGCCTACCCAAACTAATCTATTGTATTCATCAATAATAAACGACACACGGGTCTCTACCATCAAAACCATTGTCGACTAGATTATTGCAATGAAAGTCCTATCACAAAATGTCATAAATATATCTAGCGCGTAATGGTCGCGGTGTTGAAATGTTGTCGTGGTATTGATGTAGATCCATTTATATCAATAATCAAACGGCATGTGTCGAAATAGAAAAAAACATGAATTTAAACCATTGCAATTGATAATTTTAATAAATATTTTAATACCTAAAAAAGTTATGATTATTACCTCTGTAATTGAATTGATTTTGGTCATTTGTAAATTTTACGAGAACAAAATCTAGGATCTTTTTAGGTAATCGTTTAAACAATTCGCTTTTCAAAATATCTTTTTCAGCATATTCTTTTGTCACAGTGCCCTCATTATTTTCATCTTTCTTCAAAATGTCATTTTTTAAATTGTTTTCAGAATTTTGTACGTTTTTAAATACTCTGTTAATAAGAAATTCTAATTTTATTACATCACCTAAAAAAAACCAAAAAAATTCTGTTAACATTTATATGTGCGTCAGAATAAAATTAGAACATGAAGAAAAATTATTTCGCTCCACAAATATCTAAAAATACTTATATTAAAATTTCAAAAAATATTTTTTTATTAATTCTGTTGAAATAACACTTATTTCATAATTTTTAACGAAAATATTTTTTATGCAACGCTTCCAACCCGACCAAATAGATATTTATCACGATCGCTATACAAAACACCCAAATTATACTCTATGTGTACGCCAATATTTTTATTATTTAAAATAATACTTATTCTATATCTTTATTAGCTAATTGATAAGATCTAGTGGTGAAAAAATAGGAGGAGATTGCATTGAATTTTCTACCCTCAAAGGCTAAAATTATATATATCATAATAAGCAATATACTAAAAAAACCCAGCACAGGGGGGTCGCGGCACAGTGGTGATGTGGCATAGTTGGATGAAGTATAATGATATCTGACAGAGATTAAAATCACTATAAAAAAAAACGCTTCGATGCAAATCTTTAGATAGTGTTTAATTTTAAAAAATTGATGTATTATTCCAAAAGCTACATGATCTGCTAGTTCCTTATTAATATCCCGATTAAGATAAAATATGTCGAATGAAAAAGGGATTATTAAAAAATATTATTTCTCATAAAAAAATTGTATTGATCCATATATTTTTCAAAAAGTTATAGCATTGTAAAGTTAAAAATGTAAAAAATAATATCGAGAATTTTCACACAAAAATAGCATTTGGTAGCCATTTTCACCATGAAGAGTAGTCTTTTTTTTTTTTTCATAATAAAGTATATTACATTATCTTTAATATAAAAGTGTCAGACTTTCCGGAACATTTTCAAAAGTCAAGTTGAAAAAGTAAATTTTTTGTGAAAAAGTTATAATTTTAAACCCCCCCTGTGGGCAGATAAAGGGTTAGATTTAGAAAAAATATATGCCAAATGATAGGTAAAGACATCAATCGTCTATAAATAAAAAAGTTATATTGATATGTTCTTTTTTTAAAAAGTTATGGTAGTTTTTAGTAAAAAAAATTGAAAAAATTTCGAAAATTAGCGATTTTAAAATTTGTAATTATTTTGGTAATGGTAAACAAAAAAAAAAGGTTAAATTACTCTTATTCTGTAAGTAATTGAGTGGGTTATGATAAAAAAAATCAGCCTGTATTTTTGCTAATATTATATTTTTATGGCTTTTCGTTTTGTAACCCTCGGTAAAAAATTAATCTGAAGTATGGCTAGCGTGTGTTTTCGATCCCTGTTATTAGCAATTGTATGGACTGTGAAACGTGTACTGTGTCATATAAGAATACACAATATAAAAAATAAAAATATTTATTTGTGCTTTTTAATTGTAAATAATTTTTTGCGTAAAAATTATTAGAGAAGAATAGGAAATCTGAAAGGGAACCCCGAGATCACTATAATTTTATTTATTCTCTATTATTTTATACGATTACCCTCTTCTTTATCTATTGCCTCCATATTTTTACATACTTTTTCCATTTTTTGATTTATAACGAAAATAATTATTTTAACTTAATTTAAATGTGCATACATTATTTTTAAACAAATCATAGAAAAATGCGAATTGTATTAAAATATATAATCAATTTGATCTCTTCCACTTTCTATAAGGTTAAAAAATTAAATCTCCAATACCTAATTCAATATCCTCCGCATTGAGTTCTTCTTTCAAAGCGTCAATATCTATTTGAAATTGTTTTGCATTCTTTTCCATTGTTTTAATACTAATTTCCAAATCATTAATAGCAAATTTGATTAATAATAAAAATGATTCTTGTGCGATGTAACATGCTATGGGATTTTCTTGCTAACAAAAATGAATGCAATAAAGTTATTTAGTAATTTATGGAATATATTATTATATATAACTTAAAGATAAAATCTCTCATAACTTTTGATACAATTAACAATTAGCTATAATTTTATTTTTCAAATAATTTATTAATTTGTAGCCTACAGTAAAAAAATATTTTATTATATATTTTTAATAATAAAAAATATAAGATGGGATTTTTTTTATATTATAATTATTTCAAAAGTTACGTATTTTAATTTTTAATACCATTTCTCATAAAATATGTCAATAGTCAATAAAAACTTTTAGGATAAATACTGATTGAGTTACAAGCATATTAGTACATAAAATGGAGATATTTAACGCGGTTGGAGTATGCATTATAAATATACTTTAGTAAGAGCTGCAACCATGAACTCTACATAACCACCATATGTATAAAAATGTTTGTACCTCAAAAGTTACTTATCCTAAATTTATTATCGACCTATTAAAAATGTTTGTAAGAAAATGGCTAAAAAAATGATAATTTTAAAATAATAAACAAATTAAATTTTCATTTTATCGTTTAATTAAACGCAAATAATAATATAAATATAATTTTAAGATTGTCTCTGAGTGAACAACATTAAACAAAAAAATTACTGCAAGATGTTAATTTTATCAAAAGTTATAAGAGTTATCAGAATATGCTAGACCATGTTTATGCCTTTATAGATAAATGTCATTTTTTTTTTTATATAATGTGATCCGTTTAATAAAATTTACTCAATAATTTATAAAATAAAAAATTTTGTAAATAAATATATTTGATATATTTAGTAAAATATAGAATGACCAGTAAGTAAGGAAACAGGTAAATTTTTATAAACAATGAGAACAATAGAAACTCGTTTCCTTATTTACTAAATCCCTATATAGAGTACAAAGGGTACTCGCTATTCCACGAATTCAATACTTTGTGGGTAATAACGTACAAAAATTAATGAAGTTCCATTATGAAATGGAGTTTTATACAGGTTTGAATCATATTTAAGATTATAGTAATTCACTGTTCTAAGTATATTATATTTAATAAGCAAATTATCAATTATTATAAGGTGTATTAAGAAGACATCTTAACACATTATTGTAGTAAGTGTAAATAATAATTATGACAATAATTATAATTGCAGGCTTCAAGTCATAGTTATTAATTTCTTCATTGGATTACTGATTTCTAGTTGAATTTTTAATAATCATTTATAAATGAAATGTAGTATAAAAATACAAATTGTTTCTAAAAAAATATATATAATAATTTACAATTTAACCAAATCTATAATTTATCACTAAAATGTTTTTCAAATTTTATTAATAATCATATCACTTGACATTATTTTTTATGATTAATGCCTAATTACATTTTATTTTAATAGTAAAGACCAAAAATTAGTGATATTACTAACAAAAGTAAGTTAAAAACGCATTTCTTAAATTTTGGTACCATTAAATAAAATCTTATTTATGAAATAGCTGAAAAATAAATATTTATAAAAAGTTCTTCGTCTATTTTAACGTTACATTTATCAAAAATTTAAATAGTAATTGAACTGAAGCACTGACAGAATAAAAATTTATATCTGTTTAAATAAAAAAATATATTTTATAAATTTAAAATAATTTCAAGGATAATGTTAAAGAACAATTTCGTACACAATAAAAATTTTATGAAAAAAAAAAATCATTGAGTTCAACATAAATTATAAAAATTTTAACTAAAATTTGTACACTAATTTTCTTGGAAACTATTGAAAATTTTAACATTCGTATTTTTCTACTTTTAATGCTAATTTACTAACGATCAATGCTAAACATTTAAATAGATTATATTGCCTCTAGTAGTATAAAAATCAAATTAATAATGAAATAGTATTTTAAAACGTATAAGATTGGTCGTATAAAAAAAATTATGAAAATTTTTAATTAATAAAATAATATTTAAATTGTAACTAATTCAAATATTACTTCCTCCCATTCAGTAATTTTTCAAAATACTCTTTCCATATTTCTTTACATCATCATCACTAGAAAGTAACTTATTATCAAAATTTTTTATACACATATTATAATGATGATCGAGACCTTTTCGCTCTTACTTTTGCAAGTATATTGATTTCTTTCTCGCCTTCCTTCGTTCCTAGTATCATAGATATTTAGCACTTATGATTTTATTTTTTTTTATATGTTTATATTGATGATTTTTATATTAAACCACATTATTATGAGAGATGATAGATATAAAACACCAATACACATATGAAACATAAACTCAAATTAGTAGAATAATCAATTGCGCATAGGTCTATTCAAGTTTACTTGACTAGCCAATGAGAAGGATTTTGCAATTAAAATATAAAACATTAAGTCTCCTCCTCATAAAACAGGCCTATAAAAGAGCGATTTTTAGCTCATTTACCACCTTTTTTTTTTTTCTAAAAATCTGGCCATAAAGTGTTTCTGCACCAGACTGTTTCGCGATTGTGCTCTCTTGGACTTAGAAACACTTGGTGTTTTTTATCTAACTATCTTATAAGTAATGTAATAAAAACAATAATAACTTAAACTTTTTATTTTATTTATTTTTTTAATTTTATATTATTATGAATTATAAAGACAATTAAATTTTTTATTTTGTATTTTGTGAGTTGTTCCAATTAAGAATTTTTTTTAATTCTACAAGTGGAGTGTCTATTTAATAAGTGCATTTCGAAAATCTACCTTAGCACATCTAGCGGTTGAAACTATTGCAATACAATAGTTTGTGATGTGCCACTAAGGAGATCGTAGAATGTACTTTAAATTTAAGTAGATACGTGTTTGATTGATTGCACAAGATACTGATGGTTTTGCGAGATCATTACCCTAGCACATCTAGCGGTTGAAATTATTGGTAAAACAATAGTTTGTGACGTGTCACTAGGGATTGATTCTCATATTACATTACGTTCTTTTCGGCAAGCAGTTTTGACTCTGTAAGGTCCGTGCATCGACGAGAGTAATCTCCGATGGTGTAGCCAGCCTGTCTCTAACTCTGTCGACTCTCATGTCAAACACACAATTTCATAAAATATTGATAGTTTGTTGAAGTCATTACCCTAGCACATCTAGCGGTTAAAACTATTCGTAAAACAATAGTTTATAACGTGTCACTAGGGATTGGTTCTCATAAGCTATCTGGTTATATAAATTTTTATTTTAAAATATAAAGTAACACATATACTTAGACACCAAGTATAGAAAGGAACTACAGTGAAGTAATATTTCAAGTTTAATAATTTGCATAATTTTACAAAAATTAATAAGTAGATAAAAGTCAGTGCTGTTTTTATTTATATTATTTTTACAACAAACGATCAAGTTAGCTGGACATAAGGTAAGAAATTATATTTCTAAGCATGTTATAAAAATTAGAAAAATAAACTTAAGGTAAATCAAGAATAACTTTTGTCAAGCAAATAACAGATAAAAAAAAAAGGGAAAATATTATTAATAGCTATTTAGTCACCATTCAGGACGCAACAGCTTGCGTTAAACATTAATATTTAGTTTATATTTAATACCTATACAAAAAATAACAATTTAGCCATTAAGGCTTGGCGCCCAACAACTGAACACTTGCAATTTACGTAAACACACACAGTTTATTATTTCTATAACATAACCATTAAATATTAAGAGTCGTAAAATTCTTCTCCTTAATTGTTGCACGTTTCATTGTGCGTCATACAGAAGTAATTTACTTGCGATCTATATTTTACGACAAAAAATAAATATAGTTTAAAAAAACTAAAAAACACGCTTTTAAAGAACATCGAACTAAAAATTATTTTTTACTTTTTAGTTCGATGTTCTTTAAAAGCGTGTTTTTTAGTTTTTTTAAACTATATTTATTTTTCACTTTTTAGTTACATGTTATGATAGTAGTTACTATCAATATCATGGTTATAACGGGTAAAGGGGAATCAGGGTTCGATTCCGGAGAGGGAGTCTGAGAAACGGCTACCACATCCAAGGAAAGCAGCAGGCGCGCAACGTGGAGGTAGTGACGTAAAATGACGATACGGGAATCATCCTTTGTAATCGGAATAAATACCCTATATATCTCTTAATGAGAATAAAGCGTATTAATATATAAGTTTTAATAGTAATTAGAATATATATATACATGTAAAGCGACTTAAGTACGTAAACGTATCATGCACGAGGTATAGCTGTATTTTGTTGGCGGGCGGGGCGCGAGGCATATACGGCGGCAGAGGAGTCGGCTGTAGGAATATATAAATGAATATTAACATATACGTATATACGTATTAATATTAATATATATATTAATATTAGCGGTGGCGGTAGGAATATATAATCTTCGCATAATATCGTGGCACTTTCGTTGGCGTCGACGACGCGATGTCCGGGGTGATCCTCGGGCGTCAAAAGGTTAGCAGCGTTGATGGCAACGGTGCGCGAGTGGAGATCGGTTTATTGACGTTGCCACTTTGACAACAGGAAGAATACTACGGTATCATTAGCGTAGTATATGTACGTCGTCGGCCGTGCGGCACTTGCTGGACTTTGCACCGCGGTGTTGGTCAGTCAAATACTCAAAATTGTACAGAAATATACAGAAAAAAATAGTGTTGGCGCCGACTGGTGAGCGGGGTGGGGTGAATGCAATACGACGGTCTAGTCTCAAGGTCATAGACGACGGGATACGCGACATAATAACACGTGCCGCGTGGAGTTACAAACTTACAACATACAAACAATATACAAACAACATACATGTGAAACTAATATAAGCGTGTTAAAATAGGAGTGGTCACTATATCAAAACAAAGAATTTATGATTATATGCCATATGCTTTTATTTTCATATTGTTGCTAAACGAATTTCAAAACTCTGGTTAACATAATATTTATACTCATATTCAATTTGATTATCGTCTCTTTGTTTTTCATATTAAAAAAAATTATTTATTGGATTTCACCATCTCAATATACAAAACATTAACCTACTTAACTTTTTTTTATGACAAAATATAAATATAACATATATTCAATTATTGCCAATTAGTTTAACTCTAAATACATTTTTTCTACCACTCCTTTTTTTATGACACTAGCCTATCATACAACTCATCATACCTTTTAAAATTCGCTTTACATACTGCACACTTGGCTTCTTTGCACAAGCGTTTACTCCATCCAACCTTTTCTCCTTTTGCTCTTCTGCCATACTTTAAATTGATTTTTCTTACTTTCCACGATTTTATGAACGTTATCATCCCACCACCAGGTTTTCTTGATTCCTGGCATTCTGTTCCTACTCTCACCAACAATTTCCTATGCAGTATTTTTTCCACAAGTAGCAAATCTATTCCACACATCATTTATGTCTCCTTTGACATTCCACACCGTCCTCTCTTACCGTTTTTGCAAACTCTTTTTCATTTTCACCATTCAATTTTCACTACCGGATCTTCGATTTTTCCCATGTATTACTTATATTTTTGTATATTCTCTTTTTGATAACTCCAATACCATCAGTCTATGTTGTGTAGTTACACTCTAGCCTGGTATAACTTTACAATCTTCTACTCGCTTTACGCTCTCTCTCTTCCACATAAAATAATCTGTGATCTATTCCTACCACTCTTATAAGTTATATAATGTTCTTCCCTCTTTCCAAAATAAGTATTAACCACAGCAAGATCATACGATATTGCGAAATTGAGGATTCTTTCTCCAGCCTCATTCTTCCCACTAAAACCATACCCTCCATGTACTCTTTCATATCCTCTCCTCTTATTACCTACACGAGCATTCATATCTTCACCTATCATTGCACCTCATTGCCAGGTACCGTTTGCATCACCTCATTTATCTCTCTCCAAAACACTTCCTTGTCTATTTCATCACATCCTACTTGTGGAGCATAGTCACTTATTACATACAGCGCTATTTCTTCAAATATCAATTTTATGACTACAATTTTGTCACTTATCCTAGCTACTTCTACTACTTTACTTTTCATCACCTCATCCATTATTATACCTACACCATTCCTTGTATTAGACTTCCCTGGGTATATTATTTTATAACCCTCATCTATTTCCTTCAATTTCTCTCCTTTCCACTTAGTTTTCTGCACACAACAAATGTTAACTTTTCTCCTCTTCAATACTTCTACTAATTCTCTACTTCTAACAGTTAATGTTCCAACATTCCAAGTACCTATTCTTACTTTGGATCTATCTTCTCTCTTATACACGAGTCCAGCCTAGAGTTAAGTGGTGATGTGTCTATAAAGTTGACACTACAAGCGTTGGGCAGATCTCTACACATGACTGGTGAAACAGCTACCGCACAAGTTGTCCGGCTGGTATTAAGCACCTTATTCTTTAGGTCTTCTCCGTTTTTAACTACTTTATTCCCTCTCACCTGTTGTCCCTATGTACATCCGAGATGGGACAATTCGCCTAAGTTTTGTTCAGGACACCTCATACTATTTGACAAAAATTTTACGCCGTTTAACGATCTGACACAACCTCATTACTCGCCTCTTACGAAGTATTTTTTATCCCCTACCCACAAAAGGTGGTGTGAATTCTATTAAATATTAAATTCGAGTAGGTAGGGAGCGGTGTCGCTTTTTTTAAATGTCATATTATAAGTTAGTCTTATTATTAAATTAATTTAGTTTATAAAAAACAATTCAGTCTATTTTTATAAATCTTAAATTTTCATTAGTCTATAAATTATTGTCTATTAGTCATCAAGTTAAATATATATTATTCATGTCAATTCTTTAAACTATTCCGAAAAATATGTCTAAAATTTCATTGATACAAATTTACTATAAAAAATTCTTTAGTTGTGACAAAACACCTATTTTATGTAAAATAATATATTATAACTAACGCAATCAAGTAAAAAACAATTAATAAAAGGTCGTGATACTTGCACTTATAGATGAATTAAATTTAGTATAAAAGGGCACAAAAACAGTCAATCCAAACCACTACTCTTTTACTTTACGAACTTTCAACAAGTGTAAGAAGTGACACGGAAAAAGTTATAATTTCATAAAAAATCGAAGCATATTTATTTTTAACCTTATTTCCAACATTACTAAGGTAAACCTATATTTCTCAGTAGATTTATAAGGTTTAGAGTTAAGTATAATGAGTACATAAATTAAATAGGAAATCAGAAAAATTATGTGATCATTAGAATAAAATATTGTTTAAATAAATAAATTCGATAACGTTTGTACGATGTTAGCCAGCCTAATCTAATTTTGGAATGGGTCAATACAAATGAAGACTCTTTTGCAAAGATATAGAACCCACTATACTACTGGCGGTATTTATTGATAAGACTCACAGTCATCACAAGCTTATATAGCTGCTAGTATAAGTGGTGTTATTGATAATTTATGTGTGATAATTAATCACAAAAATTTCTATTTCAAATTATTATTATATTAATAAATTTTCAAACATTTCTTTGTTTTTCTATATTTTACATCTTCTCATAAGATGGCTGTACTCATATCCCGAATGAAAATTATATTATATCATTTAATTCAATAAATACATTGTAACTCAGTTATTCTCATGCTTATACAAGACCAACTATTAACTAATTTTATACATAATTTTAATCATAGAAAAATATCATTTTACATTAATTTTTTTGAGTTACTATAGTATAAAAGAAGATACCCCAAGCTACTTAATAATAGGAATTTATGTATAAAATAATAATAATTACAGATATTACCTCTATATTATTTATTATGGAGCTTGGCGACTTAGTTGAAAACGTAGGTATGGGAATAAAACACACAACAAAAAGTATTATTCTAAAACAAAAATAGAAATTCATTTTAATTAATGATAATATATGAGTTAGGTAAACGTGAAAAATAATTTTTAATATTAAATGAATTTAGTTTATATGGAACAATTCAGTCTATTTAGAAAAATCTAAAATGCGGTAAAACAAATTAATCATTTGTCTTATTTACAATGTATAAGTCATATACTTTACATTTATAATAATTATTTATGTATTATCGCAGGAAAATATTACTTAATTATTCTTGAATAAAATAAAATGTAGTATGAAAATATTAATTTTATTAAAATAAATACAGATAATACTTTAAAATGTAACCAAGTGTATAATTTATCATTGTAATATTTTTCATTGCCAAACAGTATAAGATTGTGTACAAAAATTAGTATGTCACGATGAGTATATCAAAATATAGAAAACTAATAAAGTAAAATAGGTTATTAATAAAATGTAATAAGTATACGGTTGACGGTTGGTCCCAAGGTCATCACAATAATATAATAATACTTCAATGTTGATTGACACTATCTTTGATTTCAATAACTTTAATTAAATAAATAATACAGAATTTCAAATAATAGAAATTATATTTAAATTTGAGTTGATTTATTAGAATTTAATATATTATTACAAATTTTCATTAGCATTAAACAAACGCATTCACTATATGGAATCCAAATAAAAACTATGTGTATGGACTTGATAAAAGAAAATTAATTTGAAAATTGTCTCTGAACATGTCTGTAAAAAACTCAAGTTATGTATAAAAACCACACTAACGGAGATCTAAAAAAATATTACCATTTATGTGAATAATTTTCCTAAAATATTGTCACCAAATTCTTTTATTAAAAATCGGAGAGCGTTAAGTAATTTTTTCAGTATTGGAAAATTTTTAAATATTTATGATATAATAAGATTCTACTTTTTTCTATTGTCATATCTCTTTATATAATAAAACATTGTATAATTTGCCAATGCTGGAAAAACTACTTAACGACATACTATTTTTTTTTAATAAAAGAGCTCGAAAATTTTATTCGCAAAGATAAGAATATTTTTTTTAGCACACCGTGAGCGTTTAACACTCTGTAACAAATTTTTTGTTGCAGGTTGGATTGGGTACTATCTTTATCATTATACTTGATCCATCTATACCACGTCACCATTGTGCCGCGACCCCCCTTGCTGTTTTTTTTTTTTTATTATAACAGTAACGACAAAATAATAGTGCTATTATTAAACCAAAACACATTTTTAAAGCTACATATCGATCAATATAAACTTATTTTTTATATAGCTGAAAAATGTAATTAATCAATCAAATCAATGAATATATAAACATCGAAGAACTATTTCTATTTTGATTTTTTTTATTATTACTATTTTACATATATTATTATTATTTTTTTTTGCTTTGATATTATACTATTTACAATTATGTCAAAGAAAAAAAAAATATATATATATATTTTCACTTAATTATACTATGAATATAGCTACTTACTATTATATATATGTTATATAAAATTATATATTTTGCACATCTTACTTTTATAAAAAAAAGAAAAGGGAGAGGAACATTTTATGATTTATTAAAAAAATTGTTGTAGATAAGATAACGTCTCGACTTAAGTTCCTTACATATTATAAGCTCGATTTTTTTTTAGAATATGACTATAACAACTAGAAAACAAAAATATCCACCACCATTACCAGCACCGAAAAAATTAAAAAAAAAACTTCCCCCGACTCCGACACTCAAAATGATAACTAACAACAACTTGGTAAAATTAATATGGAATGTGAAGATCAATCCATTTCATGCGTACATAAAGAATTATGAAATGTATGGTTTTAGGAGTGAGGAAAATACTACTCTGCACATAAACATGTGGTTTTTAATAGGGCGGGTGTCTAGTATGCAACTACCAATAGCGTGTGATATTTTATTTCACCAACCAGGCATGTTTTATATAGCCATAAGAGCAATTGATAATTATGGGAGAAGTACTCCATTTGTACTTCAACATACTGTTATAAATTTAAAATAATAATTGTAGAAAACATAAACATTATATATAAAAAAAAAAAATACACATATTTAAAAAAAAAAAAAATAAATAAGAATATAATATACTAACAACTTTCATTCATTATGTGTGTTGTTTATTGATAATAAATATGTATAAAAAAAAAAAAAAAAAAAACACTGTACGTATATATATATATATAGTAGTGGGAATTTTTCGAATATTGTAAAATATATTATAGTTAAAACAAAAGATAGTGGTATCATAATTTAAAATGTTATAATATCAATAAAATAAATATATAATAAACATTTCAGTAAACATGGACGAACCTCAGATCAATCATTATATTATACAATTAGATCACCATAATAAAAAATTTATTTAAATACTATATGACATTCAAAAGAATGAAACAAAAATTATCGTAATATCGCCATTTTACTCTTTAAATTATTCAATCAAAGATTTTAAAACTATAATAGAAGCTATTCCCAAAGTAAGGTATACAGACGACAAATTCACATTATATGAAAAAACTCCATTACATAAACTAAAAAAGGGGCTAAAATTAATTCAGCCAAAGATAACACTAAACTGCACGGAGATAGCTAGATTGTTGTTTTTAAAAAATAAAATTCTATCTTTAGCTGACACATTTAACCAAATATGTGAGGTATTGGGATAATTTTTATGTTTATATATATTTTATTTTTTTTTTTTATATACAAAAAAATACTACATTATAAAAAAATGGGTACTACTTACTAATAACCAATTAATACATACATTTTTTTTATAGTACAATACAGAATTAAACACATAAAAATTACAACATACAAAAAAAACATATCTCAATAGTCACATAAGTACTATCTTGAATATTACGTATAAAACACACACATATAAATCTTTTAAGAGTTATTTCAACACATGTTAATATTTTTACCTATATTATATAAATAATTATAATTATAGTAATTAAAATTTAGTATTTAGTGTTTAGCCTTACATTTTTTTTTGCTTGTATGATTTTTTTTTTAATTCTAATAATACTAAAATCATAAATAATTTTTTTTAACATTATAATTATATTTTACACTTACCTTCAAAACTTCAATCAATTTCTCAATCAAAAATCATTCAATTTATTCACGTATTTTGTGTAGTTTTTGTTAGTATTGCAATTGGACCATTAAAATGCATTACTCACACAATTTAATCAACTTTTATATGAAAATGCTACAGTCAAGATCACCCCATGATATTAAAATATTTGACTCAATATTTTTATTTCGTAACAATATAAATTCCAAAATATCAAACAATACAAATACAGATAATTTAGCAACACCAAAATTGTTGTTATTGCCATTTCATTTAAACGATTATTGGTTATTAACAATAGTTAATTTAAAATATAATAAAATCATTAATTATGATACATCTAATAAATATCAAGGACAATTTAACTTTTCAATAAATAAATTTCTTAAAGAATGGACACAACAAAATCCACAATGGAAAATATATAGAAAAAATTATAATTGTGTAAATTATTGTGATTCTGGCCCAGTAATTTTAGCTATCACAGAAAAAATTACACGAGGTTTTCCAGCTACTATTGACTTCAATACAATATCATACTTAAGAATATGTCAACAACAAGAAATAAGAACAGGATTACTCATATTTGAGAGTAGACCAGTAGCTATAATATCATCAACAAAAACAGAAAACAATTCAAAAGACAATATATTAACTACTATTAATCTAGAATATGAATATACAAATCCTAAACGAAACAAAAACACTGAAAAGAATAAAAAAAAAAAATATCTAAAAAAGAAATTAAAGAAAAATATCAAACAAAAAACGAGATCAAAAACGACAGCAATAAATATATGCTCCTAGTTGCAGTACTAACATTAATTGCCAAATAAACATTTTAGAAACAAATCAATCAAAATAAAACCATAATCTCAATATCGATAAAAATAAAAAATATATATAATCAAGTAATTTTTATGTAAGAATTTATATATATATTTTATGTATTTCTTATATTTTTAAACCCAATTAAATATAATATTTATTTTTATATATCTTATATTTTTAAAAGGATAAGCATTAGTATATTAAATATTATATCACTTTTATTGACAAATTATTACATTAAATTTTATACATTTATATGCTTTTATACACTTTATATTAATCACTAATTCTATTTTAATTTATAACATTTTAATCACATTTTTATTATTTTTGTGTACCCACAAATTTATTATTATAAGACATAATTATCGTCGAATTATTAATTATTAATAAGTCAAATCAATTGAATAAAATTCATAACACTTATATTAATCACTAACTTTAGTTTACTTTATAATATTTTAATTACACGTGTATTACAATTTTTTTATCGCACATTTATTATTATTATACTTTTATAAACATTATATTTTATATCATTGCCACTAAATCACTATATTTATAAATTTATATAGCATATATAGCACCATTTGATATATTTATTTTATTATTTTTTTTTATATATATATTTCATTATTGCACGATACATTAATATTATATTAATCAAATTATATTTTATATATTATTGTGCAAAGAGCGAGGACGCGCTCAATTTTGATTGGGTGCATATTTGTAATAGATATTTAGCACTTATAATTTTATCGTATTTAATTTATATTTTTATAATAATGATTTTTTTAATAAACCGCATTACAATGAGAGATGATAGATATAAAAACAACAATACATGTATGAAATATTAACGCAAATTAGTAGAACAATAGATTGCGCATAGATCTCTCTAAATTAATTAACTAGCCAATGAGAAACAGGCCTATAAAAGAGCAATTTCTAGCTCATTCGTCACCTTATTTTTTTTATAAAAATCTGGTCATGAAGCGTTTTCTGCACCAGATTATTTCGCGTTTTGTGCTATTTCTTACTTAAAATCTTTTTACACTTGGTGTTTATCTGAATCTCTCATAAGTAATGTCATTTTGAAAGAATAA